TTTCGGTAGTTCTTGAAAAGTTGAGAACTTTTAAAACTATTCGTCCATCAACCCAACAATCCTACAGACCTAGAAGCACCCAAACCTTATACTGCTCCATTTTTGTTAAGAAGGTCAATTATTTCCTAATCTTCACAAGATGGATTAGGAAACAAATATGTAATTATGCGTTGTAAAATATTTCTTTTCCTATTGTAATTTAGATTTCTAGAATAGCTTAACATAATTATAGGAAATCTCTTGTATAAAGTTACATTCTCTGATTCAATGAAAATCATTCAGACAAATATCTTTCTTCCCTATTTTACATGGTATCAGAGCAGGAAGACATACCCTAGCTCTCTGCTTCTTTTTTTGCCGTCTGAATTTTCTTTACTCTGCCGTTACTCATCATCACGGAGCGCGAGCAATCTTTAAAGGAAGGCAAGAACAATGTTGTCGATCCCTTTTTTCTCTACCATTCCGATCTTCCAGGATTGGTACTTGTTTCCAAGCCTCTCAATGGCGATAATTATTCGACCTGGTGCCGAGTCATGACCATCTCTTTAAACGCCAAATCCAAGTTGGGTTTTACAGATGGTACAATAAAAGTGCCTTCTGCCAAGAGCCACCCAGATGATCATGCTTCATGGAAAAGATGCAATGACATGATTCTATCATGGATCCTCATTTCAATCACACTTGATCTTGCAGATAGTGCCATATATTCAACTACAGCCCAGGAGGTTTGGGAAGACCTTCAAGATCATTTTCCTCAGAGCAATGCCCCTCGTATTTTTCAGATTGATACTAGTTCTTTACTGGTTGACAGATGGGAAATCAATTGAGTGTCTTACCACATAGTGGTTGCCACCCCACATATTTGAGTGCATATAGTATGAAATTCACACTGTGGAGGGGTTTTTATGCAACCACAACTGAAAAGTGTTCAGTTATTTGGCAAGTGGTGTATTATATTTGGAGCATATGGATGTCATGTGAATTGCATTTGATGTGTGCCATTTGTAGTGAGGAACTGTTGCATTATGTATTGGTTCAATGACAGTTTGTCAATTTTTTTTTGGTGTAGCGTCGTCAATTTTTTTTGTGTGCAGCATAATGTTGCCAATGTTTGTGGGACAGGGCACAACACCCTTTGTGCAGACTGGTTTTCAAAGCTCCCGGCCGTAGTGGCACACAGGGTTGCAGCTGCGGGCTTTGGTGGATTCATTTCTATTTACACCATAATCAACTGAGCATATCCAGCCTCAAAACGACTAGCACCAAGGCAGACACGCCTTCTCCCCTACCGAAGGAAGATACTCTTCTAAGGTGCCAGACACCTGCCGAAGCTCCCAAACTGCAGAACCTAATCTCCAAGACACGTGTCACCACCACATCAATTTGCACAAAGTCCCACATCGAAACTTTATGCAAACCACCCACTTTTACTTCCCTATAAATAGGGAACAGTACTCAAGTAAAAAGGGTAACTTCTCTATCACTTTTACTATTACTCTGCCAAATTTACTACCCTTAGCTACCTTAAGCATCGGAGAGCCTTTGGCTGGCACCACACTAGTGTCCGAAGCTTAACGATTGCTTCTCCGACTTTGTCTTTTGCAGGCTTTTCCCTTACTGAAGGTCCTCACCTTCTCCACTGCTGAAGAGAATCCCCTTTTCTCTAAGTTGACCCTCTCCGAAAAAGACCATCAGCAGTTTGGCTCCGTCTGTGGGAATCGACACTTGAATCCCATTTCTATCTACCAGCCCAGCTGGCTCCTTCTCCCATTAGGCCCCGTCGCCTCTTCTTTACCCCACATTCAGCTATGCCGACCGAGGATAGCCACGACACTCCGCACCATACCCCCTGTGAGGGTACCTCTCGAAGGAAACCTTCGGCAGATGTCAATCTTCAGGCAGAGGTGGAGCTCCTCCGCTCTAGCGTCGCTAAGATGTTCTAGAAATACGAACATCTTCATACCAAGAACATTGAGCTGGAGTATGACTACCGCACTCTGAAGCGTAACTGGGAGAAGGCGCAGGCCTAGGGTTCTCAACGTGAGTTTACCCAGGATGTTGACCACACCTAGCCAAGCCAGCTAGTGCCCTCTCACCACCCCGGTTGAGTCTAGGCTTGGCAAGGGTAAATGCCCTATTTACCCAGAGACAACTAACTCGTGGCTCCTTCACATCTCCCCACCAAAGGATCGGCCCCATGAACTGGTGAAGGTCTACAAGGATTGTAGGGACCGTATCTTGGACTGTCAGACAGACCCTATCTCTATATCCGTTAAACCTAAAGACCCAAGGGTGGCACACCTTGGCCCCCCACCGAAGCCCAATCACCTACCAGTTGTAGAAGGTGCAAGTGACTCGAAGAACTGGGGGCAGTACTATTCAGAAGACTACGAGTCTTATCACACCGAGGCGTTCGAAGAATATGAACCTTCCCTGGCCCCTGGCCACCCACACCTAAAGCCTTCAGCACCCGAGCCACTTCCTCATGCTGACTCGGCCATGAAGCTTCTCTTCGAGAAGGTTTAGCGTCTGGAGAACGAACAACACCGCAGCCACTAACCCCTCTGGGTGAAGCCACGACTTGGGCCTTTTACCGAATGCATCCTTAATTACCATAAGGAGAAAGACATCCAGCCACCCCGCATCGCCTTCTACACTAGCACGGAGGATCCTTTCACCCACATACATTCTTTCCAGTCTGCTCTGGGGTGCAAGGGCCTTACTGATGAAGGCATGTGCCTCTTCTTCCCTTCCACCCTCAGTGGCGCGACCCTGAATTGGTTCTACAAGCTAAACCCCCGCACCATCAACTCATTTGACAGTCTGAAGCAGGCCTTCCTAGACCATTTCATGATCCAGACTGACCGCTCGTACTCTGCCGATGACCTGTACATGCTTCGATAGGGTGAGAACGAGCCCTTTCGGGAGTATGCAGCTAGGTTCAGCCACGAATACTCCCACTGCCCAGAGACCGACGACTACACTGCCTTCGACGCCTTTAAGAATGGCCTCTGCGAGTCCAACTTCCAGTACCTAGTCCACAACAACCCTTGGAACACATATGCTGAGCTAATGAAGCAGGCAGCAGTTCATGCCAAGGAGCGTGGCCCAGCCACCCCAGCACGTAACACTTCCGCTGATCCCCTACCTACTTCAGTACCAGCCCTACCTCAGCATTCTACTCCCGCCCCCAGTACCCAAGGTACCCAACACCCAAAAAGGAAGGATAGCTATCAGCATACCTTCAGCAATAGCAAGTGTGGCAGACATGGCAACCACCACCAGTCCAGTGGAAGCAACCCTCTCAGGACAAGTGATCGAGCGCCACTCCCCTCAACACCACCTACGAGAATGTCCTGGTGCACGAGGCACCTATCATACCCAAGCCTCTTCCCCAGAGACCAGGCAGCAAGCCTATGCCCAACACGGGTGTCTTCTGTCGCTTTCATCAATTCGATGGCCACAATACCGAATCTTGTGTTGCCTTTCCAACATCATTGAAGACCTCATCCGTGAGGGCAAGCTGGACAAATATGTGCTCCATCTCCCACCCCCTCCACCTAACCCTCACCAATGGCAAATCAACATGATCTCAACCATCAGTGGTGATCCTACCTTGGTTGGAATCTCCAACAACTCTATCAAACATTATGTCCGCTCCATCTATGTGCACCAGGTCTTTAGCACTGAGCAGGGACGCTTGTCGAAGACGTAAAAACCAGGCTAGGCCCCCATTACCTTCTGCGAGGAGGAGGAGCGTGGTGTTATTCTCCCCCACACCACTGGAAGCATTCATCTCCCTATCTCTATTGGAGCAGCACCCCAGCGGGTGATGGGTCACCACTCCCTTCCTTATTATTGACTGCCTCACAGCCTACAACGTCATCCTTGGCCCAAATGAAGGTTTTCATTTCCACACATATGCTGCTGCTAAATTTTCCTACACCCTATAGCAAAGGCACGGTACGTGGTGACCAACTAAGCGCCCGAAGCTGCTATGCTTCAGTAGTGAAATTGACCAATCGCCAACATAGGGGTGAGGCCCTCGCTGTAACCGAGGCCCCAGCCCCTTCTCGAGCTGGCACAGAACGACCTGAAGACCCCAGAGAGGAATCTGTCACTAAGTAAGCCGAACCTGTGGAAGACCTTGAGCTGGTCACTCTTCATTATGACATCCCAGATCGGTAGGTCCGGATCGGCACCTCCCTCCCACTAGAGCTTCACTTTGATCTCGTAGCCTTCCTCTGCCTCAACTCTGAGGTCTTCGCATGGTCTTACAATGACATGCCTAGCATATCACCAGACATCATCTCCTATTGGCTAAGCATTAATCCTGCCGTCCGACCTGTTCGACAGAAGCGTCGTGCTTATGACCTAGAGCGGTATGAGGCCATGAAGGCGGAGTTGGATAAGCTGAGCAGCATTGGATTCATCAAGGAGGTGGACTATGCCACCTGGCTAGCCAATGTGGTGATGGTACGTAAACAACATAAGGGCTGGCGCATGTGCGTAGACTACACTAATCTTAATCAGGTTTGCCCGAAGGATAAATTCCCCTTAACCCGTATTGACCAGCTAGTGGACGCCACAGCTGGCCACGCCCTCCTTAGCTTCATAGATGCTTACTCTAGGTACAACCATATCTTCATGCACCCTGAAGACCAAGCCCACACCTCCTTCATTACGGATCGTGGTCTATATTGCTACAAGGTGATGCCCTTCGGGCTCAAGAAAGCTGGGGCTACTTACCAGCGTCTTGTGAACAACCTCTTCGCCCCACTAATTGGCAACACCATGGAGGTTTATGTTAATGACATGCTAGTCAAGAATCGCACTGCTGACCATCACATCCCTAACCTCTCTGCCATGTTCACTATCTTGAAGAAGTATAGAATGAGGCTCAACCCCACAAAGTGTGCATTCGGGGTGGTTTCAGGCAAATTCCTTGGCTTCATGATCAGATTGAGGCCAATCCAGAGAAGATCTAGGCCATCTTAGACATGAAGATACCTAAGATCAAGGATATTCAGAGCCTTACCGGGCGTGTCGCAAGCCTGACTAAATTCATCTCCAAAGTTACTGATCGCTGCACCCCATTCTTCAAGGTACTTAAGGATAGCAAACGAAGCATTACCTGGACTGCCGAGTGTGACAAGGCCTTCAGCGAGCTCAAGGAGTATATGAGCTGGGCCCCTTTATTGTCAACCCCTAAGCCTGGAGACATCCTCATGATTTATCTCTCCGTCTCGGCTATGGCGGTTAGCTTTGTGCTCATCCTGCCAAGGGAAAGTGTTGAGCACCCAGTGCATTATGTTAGCAAAGCGTTACAAGATGCCGAGGTTCGGTACCCAGACATTGAGAAGCTGGCCTTCGCACTAGTAGTCTCGGCTAGACGCCTCAGACCATACTTCCAAGCTCACACCATCTATGTCTTAACCGACCAACCGCTCAGGCAAGTGTTGCAGAAGCCAGAGACTTCTGGGAGGTTGGTTAAGTGGGCCATTGAGCTGGGTGAATTTGATATCCACTACAAACCCTACCCAGCTATAAAGGGCCAGGCTGTTGCTGACTTCATATCAGAATTCAAAGAACCCCAGGCTTTGGCCGCTATCCAGATCATAACCGAACCCAATCTTCCTTTGGGCCAGCTCCACGTCGCCAGCAATGAAAAACTAGACCTGACCCAGCCCTTGTGGACCTTATATATGGATGGCTCATCCAATGCCCAAGGATGTAGGGCCAGCCTCGTTCTCATCTCCCCAGACAAGGTTGTCCTTGAGTAGGCCCTCCGCTTCAAATTCTACGCCTCCAACAAAAAGGCCGAATACGAAGCACTCTTAGCTAGCCTTCGGCTAGCCAAGGAGATGGGCACCAAGAAAATTTAGATATTTAGCGACTCATAGCTCGTTGTTCATCAAGTCAACCAGGACTTCACAGCCAAGGACATCTCTCTGATAGCCTACCTCCAGCATACCCACCATTTGCTTGCAACATTCGACGCTCATCTTATAAGCCAAGTACCACGCTCTGAGAACAGCCATGCTGATGCATTAGCCAGGCTAGCCTGGGCCTTGGAGCAGGGCATAGGTCGCAACATCCACATCGAGTTCTTGGACCAACGCAGCACACAAGCACCGCTCATCTATACCATTGATCACAGCCCTACGTGGATGGACCCCATCATTCAGTTTTTACAGAACCAGACACTACCTGCCGGCCTTGCTGAAGCACGGCGTGTTGGCTATCGCTCCGCCCCATACCTGATCATCAATGACTGCCTATACAAGCCTGGCTTCAGCCTCCCCTACCTTCGGTGTCTGACCCCAGAAGAAGGTAATTATGTCCTCTGGGAAATCTATGAAGGCATCTGCGACAATCACTCAAGCGCTCGGTCACTAGCACATAAACCCATTAGGCAAGGATACTTCTGGCCCTCACTTCACACTGATGCCCAGGCCTTCACCCAGAAGTGCGATAAGTGTCAGTGATTTGCCAACCTCCCACAACTTCCAGCTAAACCATTGACAGCCATGGTCAGCCCTTGGCTATTTGCCCAATAGGGACTTGACCTCATTGGACCTATGCCTGAGGGCAAGGGCTAAGTGAAGTATGCAGTTGTGGCTGTCGACTATTTCACCAAATGGGCTGAAGTCGAAGCCTTAGCCACCATCACTGCAGCCCGCATCGAAACTTTTGTTTGGCAAAATATCGTATGTCGCTTTGGCATCCCCCACACCATCGTCACTGACAATGGCCGGCAATTTGACAATGCAAAGTTCAAACAATTTTGTTCAAACCTCAAGATCCGTCTTTGCTTCACCTCCCCAGCCCATCCTCAGTCCAATGGCCAGGTTGAAGCTGTGAACAAGATCATTAAGAAAACTCTAAAGACCAAGCTTGACCAAGCTAAGGGTTGCTGACCACAGCTACTCCCAGAGGTTCTCTGGTCCTATCGCACCACCTTCCGTAGCTCAACAGGAGAAATCCCTTTCTCTCTTTCCTTTGGTATTGAAGCCGTGGCACCAGTGGAGATTGGAAAGCCCACATACCGAACCTCCACTTATGATGCCAAAGCCAATGATGAGCAGTTAGCCCTGAACCTCGACTACATTGACGAGCTTCGTGACCAATCCAACATGTGCAACGTCGCGTACAAATAGCGCATCGCCAAATACTATGACTCCCGGGTTAAATCCCATGCTTTCAGGATTGGGGACTGGATCATGCGCAAGGTTTCATTGGCCACCAAGAACCCTACTGAAGGTACCTTGGGCCCTACATGGGAAGGTCCATATGAGATTACCAAAGTTTACCGCTCCAGCACTTATCAGCTTCGTGATCCCAAGGGCAAGACTTTGCCTCATCCTTGGAACGCTGATCACCTCAAGTATTACTATAAGTAAACACACCTATACCCTAGGGCATTATGTTTTCTTAGACTTTGGTCTTGAGCCTTGCCTTAACCATCTCTTGTATCTTCTGCCTTTCGGCACTTATCTAATGAAATGCCTGACCCTGGCTATTTCTCATCAATCACATGATTATCATTTTGCTAGCACCACTGATATCAAATGACAACAAGTCTAATATCATAGCAACTCAAAATTGCCTTGGCCCATGCAAGGCAAAATGTTCATACGAAACAGAAATAAACATAAAATGTTCCAAACAAATAACTATAATACATAAAGAAGTCAACGACTTCAAGACTCGGTGGAAGGGGCATTTGTAGTAGCTGGCTTAGGCTATGGCTCTGGAGTGGCATCGGCGGTAGGACTAGGTGAAGGAGGCTCGCCACTCGTATCAAAGTTAATCTCAACCGAAGGGTTGAACCTCGCCAACCTCTCCTCCCAACGCAGCTGCATCTTCACCATCCGATCCATGATGTAACTTCATAGCTCCTCTGAACTCTGAAACGACTCGACCGCTTCGGCTCAGGCAGCAACTATCTCTTTGGCCTTCTTCTGCTCCACTTCTGCCCGGGTAGCAGCTACCTCTTCGGCCCTCGCCCGCTTCAGCTCCTCCACCTTTCTGGCCAGCGTCGCCTTCTGCAACAGCAGGGCGTTCTTCTTTCAGATGGCCTCCTAAGCCTCCGCTATCTTGTCCTTGGCCATCTCATTGCACCTCTTCAACCTTTGGATCTGCTTATATGCCTTGGCTATATTCACGTACATCTCGCCATAGCCCTGCAACACAAAGCATCATCAGTCAAAGGCAAACTAGAATGATAAGAACAAATTCATAAAGCAAGACAACTTACATAAGCATGGGTAAGGAACGTCTTCTGGGCCCGATCTGCATAGGAAGTGGCCGGTGTCCTCGCCAGAACCTTGGGGTCACACTTCACGCCTTCCAAGAAGACGTTCACCAAGGAAACCTCCTGCCGATGCATGGCAAGATTTACCTCCTTCTTCTATCGACTCAGCCTGGAGAAGTCCACCTTCTCCACCCGCTCGGCATAAATGTCTTTCATACCGAAGGGGAGCTTCGGCGGCGCCTGCGGGTCAAAGGGAGGAAGCCTCAGCCTTGTCCCCATCACACTTTGGTGAGCTTCCTCCAACGCTCTCTTCTTTCTCAGCACATCGACAACCAGCCCTTCATCGTCATCTCTAGAACGTTTCCCAGTCGCTTGCCTGGCACCCCCTGTCTCAGCCTTCTTCACCTGAGATTCCCTAAGCCATTTCTGCATCTCGGCATCATCCAGATCCATAGCCACCTTCGTGCTTCCCTTTATGATACCTGCCATTGCACATCAAAAGCTAAGTTAGTCACAACTACAAAAGGGAATCGGAAGACAAACAACAAAGGTGACCCAAGTACTCGCTTCCTTGCAAAAGGCCGGACTCAAGCAGATTCTTCTGAGTGATTTTACACTCATGCTCAGTCTCTGACAGTAATGACCTCACCCTCTCAACCTTGTCTTCTTGCTCCTTGGAGATTGGCCCCCACTTCACTGAACCTACACCAAAGGTTAGATACTACTCAGCCACTTACACTTGCACAAGCAAAAAATGGAGAACCAAGAGTCAAAGCAGATAAAAACACTACAAAACTATAATCAGTCTTAAAGGATGGGGCCAAGGACCTATAGACTGGAAGTGGGTAAGAATGTGTTTGGAGACGGTCTTCCCTGGTGGACACTCCCAATCACCATAAGCCAAACACCACCTGTTTCTCCAAGACTTCTGAGTTGAAGGCTTGTGACCAATAAAGTAATCCCTCTCCTTTGCCTTCCAGCAATTGGCTTGTACCCAGCCAAAACTTCCCTATTGCTTCGAAATCGAGTACAGGTACATAAACTACTCAAATGTTGGCTCCCCCAACCCAGCCAACCACCAGGCAATGTACACCCCATGAAGAAGAATCCAAAAGTTGGGATTATATTGCCCTGGCGCATATCCCAGATTGGCCAACATCATCTGTACCAAAGGATGAAACGGTAGTCTGAAGCCATGCTGGTACATATCCATAAAAATCATAACCGAACCCTCCGAAGGGTATCTGACCACATCAGATGCAGTGGGTAACCTTAAGCCCACATAGGGTGGAACACTATAATTTGTCCGAAGCTCAGCCAACTTTACTTTGTTAAGAATATTCCGCCTAGCCAAAGGGACACCAACCCGTATGTCCACCCGCTCTAAAGCTAAAGCCACGTATACCCACAGACCCTGATGGTGATGCCTGATTGCTCGAGCCCACCTCTGGTGTCTGAGGCAAGGCTAGAACTCGATCAGCCACAGCCTCAAACACTCTGTAATTCCTCTGCATCTCTCTGTACTCGGCCTCCTGGGAATCTACTGAGGGCTCACCTCTCTCACCCTCATGCACTACCATCCTACTTTCTATCATACCTTCTACTACGCCCTTTGTCTGGGAACTCTCATCTTCATAACAAATATATTGGCTGGGCTCTTCACTCTCAGTATCTTCCCCACCAAAGGCAGGGGGGTTATGACTTTCTTTATCAGAACTTTCAGACATCTACAATATGCAAAAATAAGGAAAAGGAACTAATGCACATGCAAGAAAGATGGAAAACACAAGAACACAAAAAGGAGGGCACACCTATATGCTTTTTGATCTAGAAGCATACATTCAACAGGTTCATACCAATGTTCAAGGTGTTCATCATGTTCATACTCATATTCAAGGTGTTCATCCTAGTCTTCAACATGTTCCTACAAAAGGGACATTTCAATTCAAAAACTCAAGGGAAATGAGGTCTAACCTTGTTTGCACCACCACGGAAAGATGCCGGAAATCACCTTGGCCAAAAGCACCACCACCAAAATCTCGCCAGAAATCTCCTTTTCTCCTTCTCACTTTCTAGAAATTTCTCTCAAAATTTCCAAGTGTGATGCCTTCGTGACCCCAAGCTCCTATTTATAAAGGCTCAAGGGTACCAATGCCTCAGTTAACAAGAAAACCCTAGCACCATTTCACCTTCCCTCCCAAATCCCTTGTACCTGCAACAATTTGAAATTCAAATTTCAAATAAATAAAAAACGGAAAGAGGAAGTTGAAAGGACCTTGCCAGCAAGGTCCATGGAGAAACAATGGGAGGGCTTGCAAAGAGTATTACCAAGTCTAAGATTGATCTGCCTGCCCAAGTCTTTGACCAAAATCCAAGGGCTATGTTTGTGCCTAAATAAATCACGGTCGTCAAAAGGGACCTCTTCTAGGCCGTGGCACCTGTTCATGGACTGAAACGGCCACGTTTCGCCAAACATTTGGCCTTTTCGAAAACAGAAGAAAAATACGAAGGCAGGATCTTCTCGGCCTCACAACCACGACATTATGGGCTGAGGCCGAGGTCCATGAGAGACACGGCCAAAGATACTATGGTCAAATCGCCATGTGGCCTCAGGGTCCCAAGCCCCATTTAATGAAGTAGTGCCTTTGACCGCCACAGCAAAACCACTGGGTGCAAGAAGCATTTAATGCACGAGGGCAGAAAGGAAGTGATTGAAGCTGGGATTTGGTAACAGGAATCAAAGTGGTTAGGCGCAAACATTCTCACAATGCATTCTCACAGCTTGAGGTCAGATCACCAACCACTGGACCAGAGTATTAAATGCGTTCCCATGGCCAAGAGTGCAGAGCCCATGATCAGGGCGGTGGCCGAGATTTGCCGAGATTTATGGGGGTCACACCACCATTCTTCACGATCTCAAATGCCGATTTGACTACCCACTTGCCCCGATCAGACTCCACTATGCAGATATTTTCTCGCCATCAGGCAGATCTTTTTTCAGCCTCGATTGGCCCTCCAGGACTCCTCCTATAAATACTAAGCTCAAGACCACGTTCAAAGGGTTCAAACACCAAAACAAAAGCCTCCCACGGAGCAACTTATTTTTCCTGTAATGCACTTTCAATACCTTTACATGCTTTCCTAGGAGTAGTGGTAGATTGTAAGGAAAATCCATTCATCAATATAGCATACGACCCTTGATTTTCAAGGCGCCGGAGCACCATCCTTGTTATCGCCTCATTCACCCCATATATCATACGACCGTCGCTCTCCGAGCAACGCGCCGGAGCACCGCCTAAAACCCACCACCAACACCACCACTAAACGGCCTTGTAGCTCAGGCCGTGAACCTGACGGCCGAGACCAGTTCCTCTCTCGGCCACAATCGTTTGATTAGAATTCGGACCCAAAACAGGCGCATCATTTGAACATCTTCTACCTAAACCCCATCACCGTCTCGACGCACGGTAGACTGTGCTGGCACGCCCGCGCACAACCGCACCGCATCCAAAAGGAGGACGTCACGTATTGAGGCACATCCCCTCGGCCTGGAGCACCAGGTCGCGAGATTTGCGACGGACCAACAGGCTTGGCTTCACAAACCTTTCCGAAGCCAATTACTCACACCCAAGTCCCAGCAGCCTCACCACTACCAACACGGAAAGGCCCAGCCTGGGCGCTCAAGGTTCACCAAAATCATGGCTCCAAGGCTTGACAAAAGCCCAAGCCCCAAGGTTTGAACAAAAGCAACTCTATCCTTGCCTTACTGAATGGCAAGAGCTGCTGGAAAGGCAGTAGACTCACAAAACCAGCTCAAAATCAGCTTGCTGAAGAACACAAACTCATAGCACAAAATCACACCAAGCCTACCGAACTACCTCAACGCAAGGCGACATTGCCGAACGGCAATTCCACGTGCACAGCCTACTTGCACGAACTAAGGGCTGAGAGAAAGATTGGGGGCACAACACAAAACCAAAGCTGCATAAATAGCAAGGACTCAAGAAGACCGAGCTCTAGCTCCAGAACGGCAAGGGTTACACAACAACGAAATTGTGGCCTTCAAGAATAAAGACACTCACCTTCTAAACACCAAGAACCAGGCTCCAACTCGTGCCCAAGCTCACAGAATAGCTTCATAATGCA